CGGACTGCCGAGTAGCTGAATTAGAAATGCAACTTTAATTTTATTTCTTTGAGGTAATCTGAGCTCATATATACGGTTACTTAACACTAAACATGATGCTCAAGGTCATGCATGTCAATCTAAGTGTTCGGATGATGAACTTAAGAAATTAGAAAAATTTTCTGTTTCGGTTAGATGTCCCTGCCGAGGATTGATTTGGGCATTGCAGCTTCACTTGGCTCCAGTTTGTTGTTCTGGAACTTATAGTTATGTTTATCTAATAGGGGATGAAGTTAGTTATCGATCTGCATGTTGGCTAGGTGCGATTAGATGATGAAACAAAATTTGGGAAATTTCTGGTTTAAGGAAAACAGAATGATCGTGGGCTGAATTTGATAATGCAACTCTAATCCGCTAAACTGTCTTAAACCGAGCTTGTGCAGGGAATTAATGATCTAATTACTGACCAGTGAATCTGTTTACTACTTTGCAAGTCCATGCTATATCCTCGGATAATGAATTTAGGAAGAAAGAAATTCTGTTTTGAGGAAAAATGATTTTTACCGTGGAAATGACTTGGGAGTGCATCTATAATTTTGTCTTTCTGTGATAATGTGATCACACAAGAGTAATTAGCTGTGTGAATCTCAATGTTCATGAGGTCTAAGACCCTGCATGTTAATTCTACGAAGTAAATTGATGAATTAAAGAACCTAAAAAAAAATTCTGGTTTAAGTGAATTGGGAATTTGTATGACCTGAAATTTCCGAGACCTGGAATTGAATTTTAGTTCTCAATCTATGATTATGGGGCTTTTATGAGTTAATGTATATGATTAACTAGTTAACAACATGTTAATTGAAGTTTGCATAAGGTTTTTGTAGCTTGGCTATCCAGGAAAATAAAAATGAAAACAGAAAATTATTTCAGGAACCATCATCCGAACTTAGTAGAAATAAATTCTGGATTTGTGTTTTGATGAATACAGTTATAGCATGAACCTGGATTTGTTTTGAAAATCTGTACTAGCTAGCTATGTTTTCAAGAACTAATAGAGTACCAAAAATCCTGTTTTAACCAAAGAAAAATTCTGTTTTGAAATCACTGCTATTGCTGGAATTCCTTTGTGAATTACCGTTAACTTGAACCTGGAAATTTTGAAGATTATAACGGTGGTTTAGTTTCAACTCCTGAATGGAAATTGTGCATTGTTTAGCTAAGTCATTGCATGAGAATGTGAGAGTTTAAAAGCCTACCTCACCCGAGTAAATGAAGTAAAAACAGAAATTTCCTTCATGCATGATTCATCCGTGGTTTACTAAACAGACTTTTGAAAATTTTGGGAGGTTTAACTCTACTGCTCGAATTTGATTATGAACCAGAATCTTCAGCTTGACTTTAGAATTTATTTCCCTAAGTTGTTAGGAACTCGAAATGCATGATTAAATGCACAAGTAGCCTGTGGAATCTGTTTGGCAATAAACCATTTGATATCTTGGGACTTCGTTTTCGAAATAAGTAAAGTGCAGTTATGGAGATAAGCTGGAAATTTTTCCAACCTTGGTCATGATTGATAAAGTAGTACGTATGGATTACTTTATATATCTTGGAGCTGTGGAAAAATTGTACTACCTTTGAATTTGCTTTATAATACCTTGAGATGGTCATGCCTTGGAATTTGGGGGTGACAATGTGATATTGTGGATAGTATTTCTTGGCTTTGGATCAAATACTTGAATAGGAGGCTGCTGCAAATGTGATCTTTGGTTCTAAATAACTGTTAGCAGATTTAAATATTTGATATGTTAAGCTTGGTTGTCATAAGAATTACTGGGTGAGTGCTAAGGGCTAATGATTGATGAACCCTTAGCCATTGAAATGATTTCTTTTTATAAAGTGTTACTGGATGACAGAAAATAATTGCTAGAATGTCTTGGGACTTCACTTTTATTTTATTTGCTTATATTGGGTTGCTGAAACCAAGTGCTAATGATTGATGAAGCCTTGGTTGACTATTTTATTTTATTCGAGAATGCAATTGTTGAAAGCTAGGGCTAATGATTGACGAAGCCCTAGTAACGTGCTATGTGATTTTTGCTATATTTTGATCTATATTGTGATTTCGAAACGGAATCGGAGCGGGGAAATTGTATAGACCTTGCGAACTCGAGTAGCCGCGTTCAAAATTAACCAAGAATATTTTCCAATTAGGATTATATTATAAAACTCTATATCTAGCGTTTTGCCTAAAACTTTCCAATTTAATAATTTCCTTCAGCTCAAACCAGCTCCGATAGCTATGGTACATAAGTTCTATAACTTTTGGAAACTACAAATCTTATTTCAATTCTTTTCCTTCCTATAAGCCTTGCACTTGTATAGTTAACTATAGGAAAAGTTTTAAAATACTAGTTCTACTAATCCTAGTGAAAAGCTTGGGAGACTTGCTCGGCAAGAAACCCTATTTTAGGAAAAATAGTTTTTAAGGATAATTTTGCAAAAGCCGTAACTTTAGAGAAATGTTCAAAGTAACTTTCTAACCATGATTTTGAGAAGTTTGTCGACTTGTTGCTAGTAAATAACACTAGTTACCCTCTTCTAAGGAAAATAAAGAACATTTCTATGACTTTTGTCAAGCTTCAATCTAAATAGATTTTTGAAATCTCTTGAGAAAGTAAACTAGTATTATATTAAATAAATTCTTATACGAATAAGTTTAAAAACTGAATAGAAACTTATAGTTTCAAAATTTGGTTTTAGGATATCGCGAGGACGCGGAATTCGATTCCCAACCTGATATCTGAACTTCACTCTTGGTGAGTGTCCCTGCCTGTTCTTTTCCTACTTGAATTAAGTGCTTTCTTGACTCGATATGTGATGAATTGTAAAATGAGTTTTTGATCCATCGAAGTGAGCAGTGTGTACTTTATCGCACTAGCCGTTCGAGTGGTGACTTGCGTGAATCATTTTTCTCGTGAATCCTTAATCTAAGAGTAGTTACGTCGTTGGGTGAATCCCTTGGCACTTGAATCAACTACAAAAATCCTTGGATCTAAATGCAGTTACGTCGTTGGGTGAATCCCTCGACACTTGAATCAACTACAATAATCCTTGAATCTAAAAGTAGTTACGTCGTTGGGTGAATCCCTCGACACTTGAATCAACTACAAAAACGTCGATTCGTGAATCTCTCGACTAATTCTATTACGGGTATATCTCGAGTATACTGCGTCGGTAGATGAAGTTCGGGCCCGAAGCGGAGGTATGAACGGTGACGGGTTAGGATTAAAATAAGTGGATCTACATGGACTATAGGTAGTGAAAGTTGACGGAGGGTCAACTACGAGGGTATCTGATCAAGCGAGGAGAATGACTCCCGAGAGCCCCTGTATCCTACCTTGTGCTGTTATACGCTTTCTTAATTGATTAAATTTGTTTAAATTGTTATCTGTTGTTTGATTTATGTGAGTGCATGTTTTGGGGCACCACTGAGCTTTAGCTCACCCCACGTTTATTGTTTTCCTTAACAGGTTCTGGAAGTTGAAAGCTGGAATACTTGCTTATGTTTCCCTTCTTGAATGTACTGAATACTATGACTTATGTTGTGGGCTGTATTGTGTTTGATTCGGATAATGTACTTTTTATTTTGGATTGCCACTTGAAGCTGGAAAAGTGTAATCTCTATTTCTAGTACTCAACTTGTGTGTTTGTATTAGTATAGTATATCATTAGCTATCGCGAGCGTCGCTGGAAGTGTTTAGGAACTGTCGATTGGCTAAGTTTTATACTGTTACCTCTGAAGTTAATGTGGTTTGTAAATCGACTTATTTCGGAAGAATCCTTATTGTAATAGTTAAGTTTATCGTCGGAAGATTTCAGGTTAGTTTGCTTGCGTGAGTCCTGGCGAGAGCTGGGCAGACGGCCCGCCAACCCTTCGGTTCGCCTTAGGGGGAAGTGGGGTCGCCACAGGTGGTATCAGAGCCTAGGTTAGAAAAGTTATTGGAGAGATATACTATACGAGTTAGAAAACCCGAACTTTTAGAAGTAAGAATTGAATATATTCTAAGTGATGCTGATCTAATTATCTATTTGAGTTCTAACCTCTAAGTTTAATTCTCTTGCAGGTATGGAGAATGGTAATGGACACGCTAATGGTAATGGGGTACCTAATGGACACATAGAGCCCCTTAGGTCCATCTCTTACAGACCACGAGGTGGAGGAGCCCATATATGTTACACCCCAGCTGATAGGCATCCTCGGTGCCAGTGTAGGGCCATGTATGCCTACCCCAATGAGCTAGTACTATCCCTGGATGATGAGCGCCACCATCTGAGGGACGCTAACTTCACCATGACCCAGGATGTAGAGGAGCTGAGTATCATGGTAGATACCCAGTTCGATCGTATAGCCGATTTGGAGGTTAGGCTAACTGCTGAGCATCATTTGCTGGAGGCTGCTCGCTTAGAGATAGCACGTCAGAGGACGAGGGTGACCCGATTGGCTGAGAGGATTCGTGATAGGAGCGTCGGTATCAGGGCTGATGCCGCGATGATGATAGACGAGGCCACGAGCATCCTTCAGAGTGTCGAGCAGGAGGACCCAGAGGAGGATCCGGAGGAGGATCCAGAGGAGGATCCGGAGGAGGACATAGCTCCCGATAGCCCTGCGGAGGGATAGGCTTGGATCGATTTGACTATATTAGATATATAGGGTTAGAATAGGGGGACGTTAGCTAGGTCATCAAGTTTTGTCTAGGCGGATGATTTGCTTCTGAGGCACCACATCCCTAATTTTTGTTAAGGGATTATTCGTATGTATTTTTGCTGGTTATGTGCCTTACTTTTGGGAATGTCCCAACCTATTATTTGTATGACTTTTATCCGGAAATATATGTTAAGTGTTTTACTTACTTGTCTTCCATTCCATATTGACTTTAATTACTAAAGGAATGTTAACAAGCCTAAATAAATAATTCTACGCTTAATCGTTTGATCCTTCCATAATAGGCATAACTTAGACCATGGATCGCCAAGTGGTAGGAAGGGGCCGCGGGAGACCCACTAGACAACATCCGGAAGCGGGTAGAGATAGAGAGCCCGAGGTCAATCCAGACCAAAGGCAAGAGGGTGGGGCCGGAGACGGAGTGGCCACCGCTATTAACCGTATCACTGACGTCCTAGAGCGCTTGACTGAACACCAAGCTGCTGGACCAGGGCGCCATCAGGGAGGCCCAGTCGATTCCGATGATCGGGCATTGGAAAGGTTCCTGAAGTTTGGACCTCCCAAATTCCATGGAGGACCTGAGCCGGAAGTGGCCGAAGGCTGGTGGGAGAGGATCACTGAGATCTTCGCCGCCCTAAACTATACGGAGGAGCGAAAGGTGGCTTTTGCCACCTTCCAGTTTGAGGGAGCTGCTCGCTCCTGGTGGAACCTAATGAGGGTCCATTGGGAGACTAACCATACACCACGGACTTGGATGAACTTCACAAGGGAGTTCAATGCCAAATTCCTGCCGCCTCTCATTCAAGAGAAGAGAGAGGACGATTTCATTCGATGCAAGCAAGGGGCGATGAGTGTCGCCGAGTATGAAATCCAGTTCACAAAGCTATCCCGCTTTGCACCTGAGTTGATAGCCACCGAGCAGAGGCGTGTTCGGAGGTTTGTGCAGGGTTTGAATGTAGAACTACAGGAAAGTTTAGCCGCGGTGAGGATAGATACTTTCGCAGATGCTGTCGAAAGAGCTCAGAGAGTTGAAGTAGCTAGAGCTCAAGTGAAATCCTTTCAAGCTAAGAAAAGATTTAACCCCAGCAGTAGTCGAGAGCCGACGTATGGAAATACTCCACCGGCTAAAGTGGGCCGGGGAACTGGCGGAATGACTAGTCCCGGAGCACCGCGAGGTGCACTAGCAAGGGGAACCGGGGCAAGGAATGCAGGGGGAAGAAACAATGGATTTAGAGGGGGACCGATTGGAAGAGGACAACCTAGAAATACCTCGCAAGGAGGCCGAGCCATAATTCCCCAAATGACTTGTGCATACTGTAAGAAACCTGGCCATACTATGGATAGCTGCTGGAAGAAGCAAGGAAAGTGCCTGAAATGCGGAAGCAGCGAGCACCAAATTTCTGGGTGCTCAAAAATGCAGGAAGGGACTACTTCGAATGCTAGACCAAACACTTCTGGAGGGAGCCGGCCGACAGTTCCTGCCAGAGTGTATGCTTTAGGAGATCAACCTGTACCTAATGCCTCGGAAGTGGTGGAAGGTACACTCCCGATCTTTCACCGATTAGCTAAAGTATTGATTGACCCTGGGGCAACCCATTCTTTCGTTAAGCCATCCTTTATGTCTGGATTAGATGTGCAACCTGTTAGATTGCCCTTTGACCTTGAAGTTAGGACACCCATGGGTAATAAGAATGTAATCACTAGCTTGGCTTATAGGAATTGTGAATTCTGGATTGGAGAGCGTAAAATGCTAGTGGACCTGATTAGCCTAGACATAAAAGGTTACGATGTTATAATAGGAATGGATTTTCTAGGTCATTATCATGCTAAACTTGACTGTCGAGCAAAAGTAGTGGAATTTTGTATACCTGGTGAAGCAACCCTGAGGTTAGATGTTAAGGGTAGGTTAGCATCTTCTGCTATGATCTCAGGAATTAGAGCAAGGAAAATGTTGTCTAAAGGAGCGCAAGGTTTCTTAGCTTTCTTGATAAACGCTCCCAGCGATCAAGTGAAGCTGGAGGATGTACCTGTGGTACGAGAGTTTTCGGATGTGTTCCCTGAAGAGCTTAAGACTCTACCGCCGGAAAGGGAGGTGGAATTTAAGATTGACTTGGTACCTGGAACGGCTCCGATTTCTAAGACCCCGTATCGAATGGCTCCTGCCGAGCTAAAAGAATTGAAAATTCAACTGCAAGATCTGTTGGAGAAAGGTTTTGTGAAGGAGAGTGACTCACCTTGGGGAGCACCCGTCCTATTTGTAAAGAAAAAAGATGGAAGCTTGAGGCTGTGTATTGATTACCGAGGGTTAAATGAGGCTACAATTAAGAATAAATACCCTCTACCGTTGATTGATAGCTTGTTCGACCAACTGCAAGGGTCAGTGGTCTTTTCTAAGCTGGATTTGAGGCAAGGGTATTATCAGTTGAAGATCAGGAAGGAAGATATACCCAAGACTGCTTTTAGTACAAGATATGGACATTTTGAGTTTGCAGTCATGCCTTTTGGATTGACCAATGCACCAGCTGCTTTCATGGACTTGATGCAGAGAATTTTTAAGAAGTACCTGGACCAGTTTGTAGTGGTTTTCATAGATGATATCTTGATCTACTCTAAGACTCGTGAGGAACATGCTAAGCACCTAGAGGTGGTTTTGCAGACATTAAGAGAGCATAAACTATATGCCAAATTCAGCAAGTGCGAGTTTTGGTTGACTGAGATATCTTTTCTAGGTCACAGAGTTTCTGAGGATGGTATTGCCGTGGACCCGGCAAAAGTGGAAGCCGTTATGAATTGGAAACAACCAGAAACTCCAACTGAAGTTAGAAGTTTCTTGGGTTTAGCAGGTTATTATAGGCGATTTATCCAGGATTTCTCGAAAATTGCAGGACCTATGACTGAGCTAACCAAGAAAGGGGCTAAGTTTGTCTGGACCCCGAAGTGCGAGTCAAGTTTTCAGGAACTAAAGAAGCGGTTAACATCCGCTCCCGTTTTGGTTCTACCTGATGGAGGTGAAGGTTATGCTGTATATTCCGATGCTTCCAGAGAAGGTCTGGGATGCGTTTTAATGCAAATGGGTAAGGTAGTTGCTTACGCTTCTAGGAAATTGAAACCCCACGAGCAAAACTACCCAACTCATGATCTAGAACTAGCCGCAGTAATTTTCGCCTTGAAGAAATGGAGACACTACTTGTACGGCGTGACTTTTGAGGTTTTTACGGATCATAAGAGCCTCAAGTACTTGTTCTCCCAAAAGGAGCTGAATTTGAGACAAAGGCGATGGGTAGAATTTCTGGAAGATTATGACTGCTCGATTAATTACCACCCAGGAAAAGCCAATGTGGTGGCTGACGCTCTTAGTAGGAAGGCCCAAGTAGCAGGGTTAATGGTAAAAGAGTGGGATATGTTAGAAGAAATAAGTGGTTGGAACCCTCGCTTGGAGAATTTGAAAGTTTTGTTAGGGAACCTATCATTGAAGTCACCGTTACTAGAGCGGATTAAGGAAGCCCAGAAAACAGACCCTATGATTCGGAAGAATTTGGAGAAAGTGCAAAAAGGGGAAACCCTAGACTTCAAGTTAGGATCTGAAGGGGTATTGAGGTTTCAAGATCGAATTGTGGTTCCGTCAGACGAAGAGTTAAGAAAAGAAATTTTGGAAGAATCACATCGATCAAAGTATATCATACACCCAGGTGTGACCAAGATGTATCATGATGTAAAGGAATTATACTGGTGGGAAGGTTTGAAAAAGGACGTGGCCGCATTTGTACAAAAATGCTTAATCTGCCAACAAGTAAAAGCTGAACATCAAAAACCTTCTGGTTTATTGCAGCCGTTAGAAATCCCTGAATGTAAATGGGAACACATAACAATGGATTTTGTAACGGGCTTACCTAAAAGTCAAAAAGGTTTTGATGCAATTTGGGTCATAGTCGATCGACTCACCAAGTCTGCACACTTCTTACCTGTAAGCATGAGTTTCTCATTGGAAAAATTGGTCAAGTTGTACATAGAAGAGATCCTAAGGTTACATGGTATTCCAGTGAGCATCGTGTCTGATCGAGACCCAAGGTTTGTCTCGCGCTTCTGGCAGAAATTTCAGGATTCTTTGGGGACCAAGTTGAAGTTTAGTACTGCGTACCATCCCCAAACAGACGGGCAGTCGGAAAGGACAATTCAGACTTTGGAGGATCTACTGAGGTCGTGTATACTGGATTTTGGAGGTAAGTGGAGCCAATATATGACCTTAGTGGAATTTGCTTATAATAATAGCTATCAGGCTTCAATCCAGATGGCACCTTATGAGGCTTTGTATGGAAGAAGGTGTCGATCTCCGATTCATTGGGATGAAGTTGGAGAAAAGAAGGTCGTAGACCCCACAGCTATACCTTGGATAGAAGAAGCCCAGGAAAAAGTAAAATTGATCAGAGAACGGCTTCAAGTTGCTCAGAATAGACAAAAGAGCTACGCCGACACAAGGAGGAAGGATTTGGAATTTGAAGTAGGTGACAAGGTTTTCCTCAGAGTTAAACCCTTAAAGGGTGGGGTAGTGTCTAAGAAAGGTAAGAAGCTGAAGCCAAGGTACATTGGACCTTTTGAAATTTTGAAGAAAGTCGGGCTGGTAGCGTATCAATTGAAGTTGCCTGCAAGCATGGCCAAGATTCATGATATATTCCACGTTTCCATGCTTAGGAAATATTATTCCGATCCAAGTCACGTGTTGCCACTAGAAGGAATTGAGGTGGATGAGAAGTTAACTTATGAAGAAGGACCGGTCAGGATTCTGGAAAGAGAAATGAAGGAGCTGAGAAATAAGAAAATTCCCCTGGTGAAGATTTTGTGGAAAAATCATGGACTCGAAGAAGCAACTTGGGAGTTAGAAGAAGAAATGCAGAAAAAGTATCCTGATTTATTTATTCAGAATGTGTGAATTTTGAGGACAAAATTCTCTGTAAGGAGGGGAGGATGTGAGAACCCTGAAAATGCTTATATAAATAATATTACGTATGTCTTTCACACCTCTTTTATTCGTTAATAATTCCTAGTACTACTTTTACTTGTTTGCAATTAAGTACGTAAAACACGCTTATGTGGAAATTTATATAATTTTTCTGAGTTATGAATTCCTTGGTTCCGCTAAACTAAATTAAGATTTTTGGAGCTAGACTAAACCTTTCGTGTTAACATAAATGTTGGATTTTTATATATTGGTCAAACTTGATTTTAATAGGTTAATTAACCAAACAAGAATGTTAAAGAAAGCTTAATACTAATTCGTAATCAATTAATTCCAGATCAAGATAATACAAGCACCCTAACCATATTGAGGACCTAAATTGGTGATAATCAAAGTCTTGCAAGATTAGCATTTTAATTAGACGTTCAAAGCAATTTTGGGGACAATTTTTGGAGCTTAATTAGGACCAAGGACTTGAGTGGCTAATTGGAGAATTAGTGAAATGTCTACAATACCCTCACAACCTCACAACACCACCCACGACCATAACCAATTTCTGCAACCCAAACAACTCCCGGACATCATGATCACAAGCCACCCAGCTCGGCCAACCGCAGCTCCACCACCTCAGCCGGCCAATCACACATTTCACCACTGCAGCACACCACCTCTGTCGACACTCAACCTCCCTCAAATCCGCAGCACCACTTCACAATCTCACCCCATACCCTCTGCACACTCCCTACAACAGATAACATCCCACCATTTCCTTGTTATCATCGCCAGAGTAGAGAGGAAGAAACCGAGCCACACATCTACCAATTCTGTTCGTGAGCTAGAGGAGAGGAAGGGGGGAGCTAGTGGAAGTTGTAGGAGTTGCTGGCCATCACCATCCTCGACCAACAATCACCAGCTACAACCAGAACCTGCTTCGTGCGTGAGGGCCGTGAGGAAGGAGAACCTTTCAAACATTCTGTCCGAGAACTTAGCTTGCTGTGAGGTGATTCCTGAGCTCCATTTAAACTGACTAAAGGTTGTTTAAGCCTTGCATTTGTCGAGTGAACAAGGATAAGTTAGAAAAGATTTAATGGACTTAAAATCTGGCCACATTCTGACCACCAAGGATGATTGATTAAAATTCTGGAAATCTTGATTTCGGACTGCCGAGTAGCTGAATTAGAAATGCAACTTTAATTTTATTTCTTTGAGGTAATCTGAGCTCATATATACGGTTACTTAACACTAAACATGATGCTCAAGGTCATGCATGTCAATCTAAGTGTTCGGATGATGAACTTAAGAAATTAGAAAAATTTTCTGTTTCGGTTAGATGTCCCTGCCGAGGATTGATTTGGGCATTGCAGCTTCACTTGGCTCCAGTTTGTTGTTCTGGAACTTATAGTTATGTTTATCTAATAGGGGATGAAGTTAGTTATCGATCTGCATGTTGGCTAGGTGCGATTAGATGATGAAACAAAATTTGGGAAATTTCTGGTTTAAGGAAAACAGAATGATCGTGGGCTGAATTTGATAATGCAACTCTAATCCGCTAAACTGTCTTAAACCGAGCTTGTGCAGGGAATTAATGATCTAATTACTGACCAGTGAATCTGTTTACTACTTTGCAAGTCCATGCTATATCCTCGGATAATGAATTTAGGAAGAAAGAAATTCTGTTTTGAGGAAAAATGATTTTTACCGTGGAAATGACTTGGAAGTGCATCTATAATTTTGTCTTTCTGTGATAATGTGATCACACAAGAGTAATTAGCTGTGTGAATCTCAATGTTCATGAGGTCTAAGACCCTGCATGTTAATTCTACGAAGTAAATTGATGAATTAAAGAACCTAAAAAAAAATTCTGGTTTAAGTGAATTGGGAATTTGTATGACCTGAAATTTCCGAGACCTGGAATTGAATTTTAGTTCTCAATCTATGATTATGGGGCTTTTATGAGTTAATGTATATGATTAACTAGTTAACAACATGTTAATTGAAGTTTGCATAAGGTTTTTGTAGCTTGGCTATCCAGGAAAATAAAAATGAAAACAGAAAATTATTTCAGGAACCATCATCCGAACTTAGTAGAAATAAATTCTGGATTTGTGTTTGATGAATACAGTTATAGCATGAACCTGGATTTGTTTTGAAAATCTGTACTAGCTAGCTATGTTTTCAAGAACTAATAGAGTACCAAAAATCCTGTTTTAACCAAAGAAAAATTCTGTTTTGAAATCACTGCTATTGCTGGAATTCCTTTGTGAATTACCGTTAACTTGAACCTGGAAATTTTGAAGATTATAACGGTGGTTTAGTTTCAACTCCTGAATGGAAATTGTGCATTGTTTAGCTAAGTCATTGCATGAGAATGTGAGAGTTTAAAAGCCTACCTCACCCGAGTAAATGAAGTAAAAACAGAAATTTCCTTCATGCATGATTCATCCGTGGTTTACTAAACAGACTTTTGAAAATTTTGGGAGGTTGAACTCTACTGCTCGAATTTGATTATGAACCAGAATCTTCAGCTTGACTTTAGAATTTATTTCCCTAAGTTGTTAGGAACTCGAAATGCATGATTAAATGCACAAGTAGCCTGTGGAATCTGTTTGGCAATAAACCATTTGATATCTTGGGACTTCGTTTTCGAAATAAGTAAAGTGCAGTTATGGAGATAAGCTGGAAATTTTTCCAGCCTTGGTCATGATTGATAAAGTAGTACGTATGGATTACTTTATATATCTTGGAGCTGTGGAAAAATTGTACTACCTTTGAATTTGCTTTATAATACCTTGAGATGGTCATGCCTTGGAATTTGGGGGTGACAATGTGATATTGTGGATAGTATTTCTTGGCTTTGGATCAAATACTTGAATAGGAGGCTGCTGCAAATGTGATCTTTGGTTCTAAATAACTGTTAGCAGATTTAAATATTTGATATGTTAAGCTTGGTTGTCATAAGAATTACTGGGTGAGTGCTAAGGGCTAATGATTGATGAACCCTTAGCCATTGAAATGATTTCTTTTTATAAAGTGTTACTGGATGACAGAAAATAATTGCTAGAATGTCTTGGGACTTCACTTTTATTTTATTTGCTTATATTGGGTTGCTGAAACCAAGTGCTAATGATTGATGAAGCCTTGGTTGACTATTTTATTTTATTCGAGAATGCAATTGTTGAAAGCTAGGGCTAATGATTGACGAAGCCCTAGTAACGTGCTATGTGATTTTTGCTATATTTTGATCTATATTGTGATTTCGAAACGGAATCGGAGCGGGGAAATTGTATAGACCTTGCGAACTCGAGTAGCCGCGTTCAAAATTAACCAAGAATATTTTCCAATTAGGATTATATTATAAAACTCTATATCTAGCGTTTTGCCTAAAACTTTCCAATTTAATAATTTCCTTCAGCTCAAACCAGCTCCGATAGCTATGGTACATAAGTTCTATAACTTTTGGAAACTACAAATCTTATTTCAATTCTTTTCCTTCCTATAAGCCTTGCACTTGTATAGTTAACTATAGGAAAAGTTTTAAAATACTAGTTCTACTAATCCTAGTGAAAAGCTTGGGAGACTTGCTCGGCAAGAAACCCTATTTTAGGAAAAATAGTTTTTAAGGATAATTTTGCAAAAGCCGTAACTTTAGAGAAATGTTCAAAGTAACTTTCTAACCATGATTTTGAGAAGTTTGTCGACTTGTTGCTAGTAAATAACACTAGTTACCCTCTTCTAAGGAAAATAAAGAACATTTCTATGACTTTTGTCAAGCTTCAATCTAAATAGATTTTTGAAATCTCTTGAGAAAGTAAACTAGTATTATATTAAATAAATTCTTATACGAATAAGTTTAAAAACTGAATAGAAACTTATAGTTTCAAAATTTGGTTTTAGGATATCGCGAGGACGCGGAATTCGATTCCCAACCTGATATCTGAACTTCACTCTTGGTGAGTGTCCCTGCCTGTTCTTTTCCTACTTGAATTAAGTGCTTTCTTGACTCGATATGTGATGAATTGTAAAATGAGTTTTTGATCCATCGAAGTGAGCAGTGTGTACTTTATCGCACTAGCCGTTCGAGTGGTGACTTGCGTGAATCATTTTTCTCGTGAATCCTTAATCTAAGAGTAGTTACGTCGTTGGGTGAATCCCTCGGCACTTGAATCAACTACAAAAATCCTTGGATCTAAATGCAGTTACGTCGTTGGGTGAATCCCTCGACACTTGAATCAACTACAATAATCCTTGAATCTAAAAGTAGTTACGTCGTTGGGTGAATCCCTCGACACTTGAATCAACTACAAAAACGTCGATTCGTGAATCTCTCGACTAATTCTATTACGGGTATATCTCGAGTATACTGCGTCGGTAGATGAAGTTCGGGCCCGAAGCGGAGGTATGAACGGTGACGGGTTAGGATTAAAATAAGTGGATCTACATGGACTATAGGTAGTGAAAGTTGACGGAGGGTCAACTACGAGGGTATCTGATCAAGCGAGGAGAATGACTCCCGAGAGCCCCTGTATCCTACCTTGTGCTGTTATACGCTTTCTTAATTGATTAAATTTGTTTAAATTGTTATCTGTTGTTTGATTTATGTGAGTGCATGTTTTGGGGCACCACTGAGCTTTAGCTCACCCCACGTTTATTGTTTTCCTTAACAGGTTCTGGAAGTTGATAGCTGGAATACTTGCTTATGTTTCCCTTCTTGAATGTACTGAATACTATGACTTATTGTGAGAACCCGTAAAACCCTAAATATTATCCTAGGGTTTATTTTCCCCTTAATTGCATGTTTTCTGCATTTTCTGGCTTAGAAATATTTTCTTAGTGGATTTTATGAGTAATTATAGTTTTTAGATGATTTTTCTAGCATTGGTGAATGTTTAGAAAATTAAGAATCTATATTGGACGTGGGACCCACTAGTGCGAAAAGTTCGGAAAAATTCGGCCAATAAGGTTAAGTTTCGGATACTGTGAAAAATTTATCGGGTGTTAAGAGATAAGTAGTGTGTGTGAAGTGATTGATGTGAGAGAGAAAAGAAAGATAGGAAGGCATTTAATGAGATGCCACATGTCACTTTCTCATTGGTTATGACTTAAGAAACACTATTCACCTTTTGACAAATTTCTGACTTTTGACCCAACTAGTAAATATCTTCAAAAATTCACTAAAATTCCCTCATTTTCTCTCCACCATAGCCGGCCCTCTCAAGCTCCAAGGAAGACAAAACTCTTCAACATTCAAGCTTCTAACAAGTCCAAATCCACCAAATCAAGTGCTTAAGTTAGTTCTACTCCATAAAAACTTTCCTTCTAGTGCTAGTTAGTTGTTTGGTGAACTTTGTTTGAAGGACTAAGGTGTTCAACATCCCTCTCTCTCTTGGTTCTTGGTAAGTGAAGCTTGAAACACCCTACTACACCTAATGATGCTTATGTTGTGCTTACTAGTGATAAGAGTGCTGAAATTTCTGGTTTTATTTTGGTTGGAATTGATTTGGTGAAGTTTTCCATTTTATGATGATTTTTCTGGTTTAATTGGATTATGATGGTGTGGTTGTTTGTGATGATTGGCAATGGACTATAATGGCTCTAGTGGATGTGAAATGTGGTTAAATGCAATCAATTTTGGATTTGGTGTGAAATTGAAAAGTTAGGGTTCTTAATTCCCCAATTCTGTCCGGTTTTTGATCATAGGGTTAGAGGCCGAATTTAACTTTTCTCAAAACATGAAAGTTGTAGGTATTGATGTGATGGAGATGCCTGTAAAATTTCAGGGCATTTGGATTAGTGTGGAGTGAGTTATGACGAAATTACTGTAGCTGTTCTGCTTTGGACAGAATGCGAAAACTGCGTTAGTAATTGGCCATTTTGACTGGTTTTGGTTTGGATTTTCGAGTTGGTGTCTTCTGATTAAATGTAGCTAGATGTCTTAGCTAACATATGCCTTTGGAATTTCGGCAATTGGACTTGTATGGACTGAGATATACTGATTACAGTTTTTGGTGATTTGCAAACCTGTTTTGGTAATTCTGGTTTAGTATTTTGCACTTTTGACCTAGTTAAGCTAGGAACTGGATTGAGTGCCCTTCTACATTGTTGTAGCCCTGTTTCATAGCTTCGAAATGGTGGGTCTTACACCCCCAACCGATAACCGTAGTGAATTTGACGCCATTACCGCATTATAAGATCAAACACGGTTTTTCTATCGAGGCTTAAGTTAAGGCCATATTTTAATTTCTGGTTTGCTATCATGCCTACTTATGCATGTGAAACCCTATTGGGGTTGTGTTTAGCATTGCTATATGACTCGTTATCGAGTCTCATGGTGATCGTGGTACATGAAATACCACTTACTTGCTTGGTGAGTATACCACTCACTAAATTGTTACTATGTGGCTTTGTTAAATGTTATGTGATGCCTTGATGGCTTACTTGGATATTGAAATTGATTAAGGTGAGGGTGTACTTGACCGCCCTCACCTCTTTTGATATTGTCACTGAATGGCTACCGTTTTATTGCATTACTGAACTTGATATATTGGTTGGTGAATTCCATTTCATGGAAACTGAATTGATGTCGTTTGGACGATGTCCAACGGCCTTACTGCATTACTGAGCTCAACCCCATTTGGTAGTCAATTGGATCGAGCCGGCGAGGGCTTGGTCGTGAAGATTGAATTGCCACGGGGACTGTACTGGGGAACCTTGTGGTACTGAGACCCTTGGTTCCGGTAAACTCGAGTGTTACCAAAAACTACTGAAATGAAGTGCGGGCCCGGTTGGGGTATGTTAGGTGGAAGGATTGGAAGTAAAGGGTGGTCTACGGTTTGGTACTTTTAACATTGACGGAGAGTCAATGAGGTTGGATCAAGATTGCAAGCATGGAAATGGGCTCTTGAGAGCCGACCATATCCTTTTACCGTTTTGCTTCATTGCTTATTTGCGCACTTTAAATGAAGGTTCATTCTTATATGACTTTGATTGCTTATTGGGTGGTATACCACTGGGATTTAGCTCATTCCGTGTTATTTGTTTTCCTTACAGGGTGATAATTACTTTTGAGAATGGATTGGATAGTCAATTGCCGAATTGAGCATGTAAATGTCTTTTGTATTGCTCTTGAAGTGAAACCCTAATGTATAACGGGTTCATTTCCTTTTGATAGGCAAATCGAATGTGTACTTCCTTAGTGAATGGTTTTGGCTTGCCGTTGTGGCTTGAAATGGCTAATGTTATGTTGTATATGGTTTTCGATGCTTGGTTGGGTTTCGGACGGGTCGGTTGCTATTCATGGCCGACTCTGGAGTTCGTTTCTTTTATTTTGGGATATTTTGCCCTTTTGCCTTGTTGCGCGCGTTATAAGTTTCAAACGTGATAGATCGCTTTATACTGCACCGTTAGTCCTGGCGAGAGCTGGGCAGGCAGTCCGCTAACCTCTTTGGTTCGCCTTAGGGGAAGGTGGGGCTGTCACACTTATGTTGTGGGCTGTATTGTGTTTGATTCGGATAATGTACTTTTTATTTTGGATTGGCACTTGAAGCTGGAAAAGTGTAATCTCTATTTCTAGTACTCAACTTGTGTGTTTGTATTAGTATAGTATATCATTAGCTATCGCGAGCGTCGCTGGAAGTGTTTAGGAACTGTCGATTGGCTAAGTTTTATACTGTTACCTCTGAAGTTAATGTGGTTTGTAAATCGACTTATTTCGGAAGAATCCTTATTGTAATAGTTAAGTTTATCGTCGGAAGATTTCAGGTTAGTTTGCTTGCGTGAGTCCTGGCGAGAGCTGGGCAGACGGCCCGCCAACCCTTCGGTTTGGCTTAGGGGGAAGTGGGGTCGCCACAGGTGGTATCAGAGCCTAGGTTAGAAAAGTTATTGGAGAGATATACTATACGAGTTAGAAAACCCGAACTTTTAGAAGTAAGAATTGAATATATTCTAAGTGATGCTGATCTAATTATCTATTTGAGTTCTAACCTCTAAGTTTAATTCTCTTGCAGGTATGGAGAATGGTAATGGACACGCTAATGGTAATGGGGTACCTAATGGACACATAGAGCCCCTTAGGTCCATCTCTTACAGACCACGAGGTGGAGGAGCCCATATATGTTACACCCCAGCTGATAGGCATCCTCGGTGCCAGTGTAGGGCCATGTATGCCTACCCCAATGAGCTAGTACTATCCCTGGATGATGAGCGCCACCATCTGAGGGACGCTAACTTCACCATGACCCAGGATGTAGAGGAGCTGAGTATCATGGTAGATACCCAGTTCGATCGTATAGCCGATTTGGAGGTTAGGCTAACTGCTGAGCATCATTTGCTGGAGGCTGCTCGCTTAGAGATAGCACGTCAGAGGACGAGGGTGACCCGATTGGCTGAGAGGATTCGTGATAGGAGCGTCGGTATCAGGGCTGATGCCGCGATGATGATAGACGAGGCCACGAGCATCCTTCAGAGTGTCGAGCAGGAGGACCCAGAGGAGGATCCGGAGGAGGATCCAGAGGAGGATCCGGAGGAGGACATAGCTCCCGATAGCCCTGCGGAGGGATAGGCTTGGATCGATTTGACTATATTAGATATATAGGGTTAGAATAGGGGGACGTTAGCTAGGTCATCAAGTTTTGTCTAGGCGGATGATTTGCTTCTGAGGCACCACATCCCTAATTTTTGTTAAGGGATTATTCGTATGTATTTTTGCTGGTTATGTGCCTTACTTTTGGGAATGTCCCAACCTATTATTTGTATGACTTTTATCCGGAAATATATGTTAAGTGTTTTACTTACTTGTCTTCCATTCCATATTGACTTTAATTACTAAAGGAATGTTAACAAGCCTAAATAAATAATTCTACGCTTAATCGTTTGATCCTTCCATAATAGGCATAACTTAGACCATGGATCGCCAAGTGGTAGGAAGGGGCCGCGGGAGACCCACTAGACAACATCCGGAAGCGGGTAGAGATAGAGAGCCCGAGGTCAATCCAGACCAAAGGCAAGAGGGTGGGGCCGGAGACGGAGTGGCCACCGCTATTAACCGTATCACTGACGTCCTAGAGCGCTTGACTGAACACCAAGCTGCTGGACCAGGGCGCCATCAGGGAGGCCCAGTCGATTCCGATGATCGGGCATTGGAAAGGTTCCTGAAGTTTGGACCTCCCAAATTCCATGGAGGACCTGAGCCGGAAGTGGCCGAAGGCTGGTGGGAGAGGATCACTGAGATCTTCGCCGCCCTAAACTATACGGAGGAGCGAAAGGTGGCTTTTGCCACCTTCCAGTTTGAGGGAGCTGCTCGCTCCTGGTGGAACCTAATGAGGGTCCATTGGGAGACTAACCATACACCACGGACTTGGATGAACTTCACAAGGGAGTTCAATGCCAAATTCCTGCCGCCTCTCATTCAAGAGAATAGAGAGGACGATTTCATTCGATGCAAGCAAGGGGCGATGAGTGTCGCCGAGTATGAAATCCAGTTCACAAAGCTATCCCCCTTTGCACCTGAGTTGATAGCCACCGAGCAGAGGCGTGTTCGGAGGTTTGTGCAGGGTTTGAATGTAGAACTACAGGAAAGTTTAGCCGCGGTGAGGATAGATACTTTCGCAGATGCTGTCGAAAGAGCTCAGAGAGTTGAAGTAGCTAGAGCTCAAGTGAAATCCTTTCAAGCTAAGAAAAGATTTAACCCCAGCAGTAGTCGAGAGCCGACGTATGGAAATACTCCACCGGCTAAAGTGGGCCGGGGAACTGGCGGAATGACTAGTCCCGGAGCACCGCGAGGTGCACTAGCAAGGGGAACCGGGGCAAGGAATGCAGGGGGAAGAAACAATGGATTTAGAGGGGGACCGATTGGAAGAGGACAACCTAGAAATACCTCGCAAGGAGGCCGAGCCATAATTCCCCAAATGACTTGTGCATACTGTAAGAAACCTGGCCATACTATGGATAGCTGCTGGAAGAAGCAAGGAAAGTGCCTGAAATGCGGAAGCAGCGAGCACCAAATTTCTGGGTGCTTAAAAATGCAGGAAGGGACTACTTCGAATGCTAGACCAAACACTTCTGGAGGGAGCCGGCCGACAGTTCCTGCCAGAGTGTATGCTTTAGGAGATCAACCTGTACCTAATGCCTCGGAAGTGGTGGAAGGTACACTCCCGATCTTTCACCGATTAGCTAAAGTATTGATTGACCCTGGGGCAACCCATTCTTTCGTTAAGCCATCCTTTATGTCTGGATTAGATGTGCAACCTGTTAGATTGCCCTTTGACCTTGAAGTTAGGACACCCATGGGTAATAAGAATGTAATCACTAGCTTGGCTTATAGGAATTGTGAATTCTGGATTGGAGAGCGTAAAATGCTAGTGGACCTGATTAGCCTAGACATAAAAGGTTACGATGTTATAATAGGAATGGATTTTCTAGGTCATTATCATGCTAAACTTGACTGTCGAGCAAAAGTAGTGGAATTTTGTATACCTGGTGAACCAACCCTGAGGTTAGATGTTAAGGGTAGGTTAGCATCTTCTGCTATGATCTCAGGAATTAGAGCAAGGAAAATGTTGTCTAAAGGAGCGCAAGGTTTCTTAGCTTTCTTGATAAACGCTCCCAGCGATCAAGTGAAGCTGGAGGATGTACCTGTGGTACGAGAGTTTTCGGATGTGTTCCCTGAAGAGCTTAAGACTCTACCGCCGGAAAGGGAGGTGGAATTTAAGATTGACTTGGTACCTGGAACGGCTCCGATTTCTAAGACCCCGTATCGAATGGCTCCTGCCGAGCTAAAAGAATTGAAAATTCAACTGCAAGATCTGTTGGAGAAAGGTTTTGTGAAGGAGAGTGACTCACCTTGGGGAGCACCCGTCCTATTTGTAAAGAAAAAAGATGGAAGCTTGAGGCTGTGTATTGATTACCGAGGGTTAAATGAGGCTACAATTAAGAATAAATACCCTCTACCGTTGATTGATAGCTTGTTCGACCAACTGCAAGGGTCAGTGGTCTTTTCTAAGCTGGATTTGAGGCAAGGGTATTATCAGTTGAAGATCAGGAAGGAAGATATACCCAGGACTGCTTTTAGTACAAGATATGGACATTTTGAGTTTGCAGTCATGCCTTTTGGATTGACCAATGCACCAGCTGCTTTCATGGACTTGATGCAGAGAATTTTTAAGAAGTACCTGGACCAGTTTGTAGTGGTTTTCATAGATGATATCTTGATCTACTCTAAGACTCGTGAGGAACATGCTAAGCACCTAGAGGTGGTTTTGCAGACATTAAGAGAGCATAAACTATATGCCAAATTCAGCAAGTGCGAGTTTTGGTTGACTGAGATATCTTTTCTAGGTCACAGAGTTTCTGAGGATGGTATTGCCGTGGACCCGGCAAAAGTGGAAGCCGTTATGAATTGGAAACAACCAGAAACTCCAACTGAAGTTAGAAGTTTCTTGGGTTTAGCAGGTTATTATAGGCGATTTATCCAGGATTTCTCGAAAATTGCAGGACCTATGACTGAGCTAACCAAGAAAGGGGCTAAGTTTGTCTGGACCCCGAAGTGCGAGTCAAGTTTTCAGGAACTAAAGAAGCGGTTAACATCCGCTCCCGTTTTGGTTCTACCTGATGGAGGTGAAGGTTATGCTGTATATTCCGATGCTTCCAGAGAAGGTCTGGGATGCATTTTAATGCAAATGGGTAAGGTAGTTGCTTACGCTTCTAGGAAATTGAAACCCCACGAGCAAAACTACCCAACTCATGATCTAGAACTAGCCGCAGTAATTTTCGCCTTGAAGAAATGGAGACACTACTTGTACGGCGTGACTTTTGAGGTTTTTACGGATCATAAGAGCCTCAAGTACTTGTTCTCCCAAAAGGAGCTGAATTTGAGACAAAGGCGATGGGTAGAATTTCTGGAAGATTATGACTGCTCGATTAATTACCACCCAGGAAAAGCCAATGTGGTGGCTGACGCTCTTAGTAGGAAGGCCCAAGTAGCAGGGTTAATGGTAAAAGAGTGGGATATGTTAGAAGAAATAAGTGGTTGGAACCCTCGCTTGGAGAATTTGAAAGTTTTGTTAGGGAACCTATCATTGAAGTCACCGTTACTAGAGCGGATTAAGGAAGCCCAGAAAACAGACCCTATGATTCGGAAGAATTTGGAGAAAGTGCAAAAAGGGGAAACCCTAGACTTCAAGTTAGGATCTGAAGGGGTATTGAGGTTTCAAGATCGAATTGTGGTTCCGTCAGACGAAGAGTTAAGAAAAGAAATTTTGGAAGAATCACATCGATCAAAGTATATCATACACCCAGGTGTGACCAAGATGTATCATGATGTAAAGGAATTATACTGGTGGGAAGGTTTGAAAAAGGACGTGGCCGCATTTGTACAAAAATGCTTAATCTGCCAACAAGTAAAAGCTGAACATCAAAAACCTTCTGGTTTATTGCAGCCGTTAGAAATCCCTGAATGTAAATGGGAACACATAACAATGGATTTTGTAACGGGCTTACCTAAAAGTCAAAAAGGTTTTGATGCAATTTGGGTCATAGTCGATCGACTCACCAAGTCTGCACACTTCTTACCTGTAAGCATGAGTTTCTCATTGGAAAAATTGGTCAAGTTGTACACAGAAGAGATCCTAAGGTTACATGGTATTCCAGTGAGTATCGTGTCTGATCGAGACCCAAGGTTTGTCTCGCGCTTCTGGCAGAAATTTCAGGATTCTTTGGGGACCAAGTTGAAGTTTAGTACTGCGTACCATCCCCAAACCGACGGGCAGTCGGAAAGGACAATTCAGACTTTGGAGGATCTACTGAGGTCGTGTATACTGGATTTTGGAGGTAAGTGGAGCCAATATATGACCTTAGTGGAATTTGCTTATAATAATAGCTATCAGGCTTCAATCCAGATGGCACCTTATGAGGCTTTGTATGGAAGAAGGTGTCGATCTCCGATTCATTGGGATGAAGTTGGAGAAAAGAAGGTCGTAGACCCCACAGCTATACCTTGGATAGAAGAAGCCCAGGAAAAAGTAAAATTGATCAGAGAATGGCTTCAAGTTGCTCAGAATAGACAAAAGAGCTACGCCGACACAAGGAGGAAGGATTTGGAATTTGAAGTAGGTGACAAGGTTTTCCTCAGAGTTAAACCCTTAAAGGGTGGGGTAGTGTCTAAGAAAGGTAAGAAGCTGAAGCCAAGGTACATTGGACCTTTTGAAATTTTGAAGAAAGTCGGGCTGGTAGCGTATCAATTGAAGTTGCCTGCAAGCATGGCCAAGATTCATGATATATTCCACGTTTCCATGCTTAGGAAATATTATTCCGATCCAAGTCACGTGTTGCCACTAGAAGGAATTGAGGTGGATGAGAAGTTAACTTATGAAGAAGGACCGGTCAGGATTCTGGAAAGAGAAATGAAGGAGCTGAGAAATAAGAAAATTCCCCTGGTGAAGATTTTGTGGAAAAATCATGGACTCGAAGAAGCAACTTGGGAGTTAGAAGAAGAAATGCAGAAAAAGTATCCTGATTTATTTATTCAGAATGTGTGAATTTTGAGGACAAAATTCTCTGTAAGGA